TGGGTTATTTCATTATTGTATAAAAATGTGTCGTTATGTAGTAAACTATAGGATCATAAATGGAAGATTGTTACTGCGATTTTGTATATAAAAGAAATATTGTTGATAAAATTAATTTGTAACTCTTTCAAATAATAAAAGCATATCAGGGTCAATTGTAAGTAATAATAATTAGTTGCATTCTTGACAAGAAGTTTTAATTATTATTTTTTGTTCATGTTATGTATATCAATTTTCAATTTTCTATGTTAAAAAATATTAAATATAATTTTAATAAATATAAATTTATGAACTTTTACGGTGTTAAAAAAAAATTAAAACATACTAGTGTGCCCACCCTAAAATTTTTTTTGGCTTCGCCCCTGCATGTCGGACACTTGTCTGACACCACTACGTTGAGCCTCGTTGGAATATCCGTACTTCTTAGTTGGTGATTTTTGTCGTTTGTTTTTTTCTGGTTGTTGGTGGTTTGAGCTTGTGTTGTTTGGTGGGTGGTTTTTGTGCTTGTGTCGTTTGGTGGTGGTGACACTGTTGTTAAGGGTAGGTATGGGACGGTAGTTTTTGTGCTTGCGTTGTTTGGTTGTTGTGGTGATGGCAGATTCACTGATTATGGTGGTGGCATGTGTGTTCTGTGTTTGTGTCATCGTTTGGGGATGTGGTGGCATTGGAAGTGGGTGATGTGTCAATAACTATTTTGTTTTTGTTTTGCCTTTTTTTTTTTTATTATTATCTATTATTTTTTAAATCAGCTTAAGAATACAATAGTAATTGTACTGAGTCTATTAACTCCAGTAAACTTCTCTGTGTCATTTTCAAAACTAGTCATTACCCATGACATTCTTAACACAAAATTTGCCAAGCAAATAGGTCATTCAAGAATGTCTTAAATAAAAGAAGTGCATGGATTGAAATGAAAAAATTATATCACATTAACACAATCCTAAAATCCCTATGAAATTAAATTAACACCATTACAAAATTATCCTACATATATTTCTTCATGGTGGCTCTTATTTCCAATGAGTGTTCATTTTTTCAACCTCTTGTTAAATCTAATGAATAGGTTGTCTAGTTAACATTTGAACTACAAATCAAATTTTTAAAAAATAGAAAAAAAATTCAACTAAACTAAAATTGTCCAGCAAATCTGCTTTGTAGCTGTAAGGACAATTGATTTAAATTATCTGCCATTATGACTTCTCAGATGCTACATAAATATTCTCATGCTGCAATTAAACCAAATCAACAAAATAAAAAATTCACTACTTAAAAAAAAATTGATTTAATTGACCTTTTTATCGTTTTGGTATCTATTTTGCATTATTCAAGTATTTAAAAAATATAAATATTAGTAAGGGAAAAACGATGCAAATAAGAAAAAAAAATTGGTAGGTGGTTTAGAATGATGTTTTTTTTTTGTGCAATTGGTTTTACTTACATTTTTTATTAGTCATTGATATTTTTTTTATTGGTAATTAGTTTAATTTTGAATTTTTTAGTTTTTTTTGATGTAGTTGATTTCACTTGTTATTTTTTGTTGGTGATTAGATTGGCTTTTAATTTTTTATTTATTGGTGCACTTAGTATCACTTGTTATTTTTTATTAGTGATTAGCTTGATTTTGAATTTTTTTTATTGGTAATTAGTTTGGCTTTAAATAAATTCAATTAGGATCGTCAAGATAAACAAATAATATTAAGAGAGAAAATATGAGATAGCATTGTTTGTCTTCATGATTCTAATTAAACTTTCATTTTTATATATATATATATATATAAAGAGAGAGAGAGAAAAAGTATGAGAGATAGGAGAATGTGTGTTTAAAATGTTTGTGAGTGAAAGAGAGTTATATGTATATAAGTTGAGTGTATGAGATAGAGAGATAATGAGAGTTATATTAGCTATGGGAGTCTTGAGATTTTTAAAAGGAATGAAAGTCTAATTAGAATCGTCGGATTAACAATTCTCAAATAATTTGAGCCGCGAAAAGCTAAAGACAAAAAAATTTAGTTACTTCATTATATAGATATATATTTATATTGAGAGAGAGAGGAGATGAGATAGTGTATTTAAAACGTCTAAGAGATAAGAGAGAGAGAGTTATATGAGAGATAAGAGTGTTAGAGTTAAGTCCAATTATGACTGTCGGATTAATATTTATGAGATGATTTGAACCGTCTTTTATGTTGAAATTACGTTGTCTATTGGATATGTTTATGTTTTGTTTCAAAACGATCTGGACCTTTATTTGTCTCCAAAATTTAAATTCACTTCTATTTTATTAAATAGATGTTAAGGGGTGTTCATATTATTTGGTCAGTCAAAGGTTGGGGAATGCGTATGAAATTTACCCCAATAAAATTTAAACTAGAAAAATGTTTGCTTGCCATAACAACGTTGATCCTTCAGGTTAAATTTTCCTCAGCTCAAGCAAAGCTAAGTTTGGTGTACCACCAAATTCGTTTATTCAATAAACAAGCCTTGAAAATAGGTTTGAACTTGGCTATTTTCCTTTCAAAGAAGTGTTTTAGCAACCGAGCCCAAGCTGGTCACGAACAGCTTAGTTCCTTTCAGGCTAAAAAAAGTATCACCAACAAAAAATGCTAGGATGGTTTATGGTTGAGGTTTGGACCCATTTTCCCAACAAGTAAATTTCCATTCAAATCTTTCAAAGCATTCTGAGTATATGTTATGCGTATTATTGGAAATTACATTTATCTATATACATCTAATTAGCATGGATACGGACACATGTCATAACTACGACATGAAATTTCCAAAAAAATAGAATATGGACAAATTGGGGACACATTACAAATAATCATGTGTTATTATAAAATTATATAATTTATCACAAATATTGTGATAATAATATATTATTCATAAAAAACTCAATACTTTTTGAAAAATAAATGTTATGTCTAGTTATCCGGTATGAATTTTTAGAATAAAACATCATAATAGTCAAATAATCATAATTTTTTGGGTAAATTTCATCGCACGCCTTGATATTTAGTTTTATTACACCGACGCCCCCTTACATTTCAAAAATAACACAGAGACCCCTTGACATTTGAACGCGTGTGATAACCGCACCCTTTTGTACGATAAACATTAGCAATTTCTTTAAAAAGACTTTTTTACCCTTGTATATCAGCTAGACAATTCTATCTCCTAATCAAATTTGTCTTAAATTTAATTAAATCAAACCAATCTACTAAATAAGCTAATTTATCTCCAAAATTCTATCAATTATATTTAATTCCATTAATTGATTTAGATTGGGCCCCAAATTCAATTTTAATTTATACACAAAATTAATTTGTTTAATCTCACTAATTACTTTAGATTTGCCCCAGATCCACCATTAACACCATCACCAATTTACTATGCACCACCCATTATTGCCTCCACCACTTGTGAAATCCACCGCACAAGCCCACCCAATTTGCCCCCAAATCCGCAGCACAAACCCACCACACCATCAATCACCACCGCCACAACCCACCTTCCACCGCCACCTTAATTTACCTTTGCCAATTTCTCAGTAATACCCACAACTAAGCACCACTAGTCCACAACCCAGCACTGCCACAGTCCAATTCTTCAACACCCATAAACAAACCCCCCCTCACCCCCCACTGCTTGAGATCCCGTTCCCCACAACACCACCAACATGTCTATTTTCACGCCTATTTTCAAAGTGGTTAGGCGATGTGGAGAGAGAGAGACTACCATGACCATCAAGAATCACACACAAGTCTCCAAAATTTGAAAACACTCTCTCTCTATGGTCACTCACTTGCCCCCTTTGACCATGAAAAACTCAAATCTAAAATCGAACGAACTCAAATCTCAAAAATTCGAAAACTCTCTCTCTCCTCCATTTGACCATGAGGAATTCAGTTATGAAAAATCGAAAGCACGAAGATCAACTCGCAGATCCCAAAAATTGAAAAGTCAAACTCAATGAGAAAATCGAACACTATGTAGAAAATCAATCGTAGGTCTAAAAAATTGAACTCTTTGACGCTCTCTACTCTTTGGTGTGATGTGGATGACTGAACGTGGTGGGTGACTGTGGTGGGTTGTAGGTTTTGAGGTGTATTGGTTGTGCCTTGGAGGAGGTGGGTTTGGGTTTTGAGCTTTTTTGGTTTGGCAATGATGGCTTATAGTTGTGGGGGTGGTGGTCGCGGCGGGAGTTGGGATGGTGAAACGTGGTGTGACAGTGAGGCAAGAGATATTGAGAGAAGAGACAGTGGTTGGTGGTTGTGGGCGGCAGATTCTGTTGGGAAGTGGTGTTAAAGAACGGAGGACATTCGTTTTGTATGAATTTGCTTCTTTCTTTTTTTTCAATTTTGAACAAAGGATATTATTGTCATTTTTTCACTTCGGTTAACAACATCCAGTGTTAACGGCATTTGGGATCTTAGTGTCATTTTTGAAATATAAAGGAGCATCCGTGTAATAAAGCCAAATGGCAGGAGGGGTGTGGGTGAACATTAACCTAAATATTTTTGTTGACACCGTGAACCCAACATCTATAGGTTAAATGATTGCTTTCATTTTCTCAATTCTTCTTGTTTAAAATTGCTATCCATCTTTTGTTTTTATTATTATATCTTGAGTACAACTTTAACAAGTATAGTCTTGGTAATTATATGTTCTCTCATAGTGTAAAATATTCATTAATCAAATGTTTAAGTTTTGTTGGCCACATGTCAAAACATATTTATTGTTTAGTAGTAGACACAGTCTACAGAAGTGTCGGACATGTCCCCAAAAAAGTTTCAGACATATGTGTGAAATTGAAATTTTATCATTTGATTATAGGAACAGATAAAAGAGTATCCGACACGTGTCGGAGGAGTGTCAGTGTTCGGCAAGGATACATCACCATCTTGAGAGTGTCCATGCTTCATAGATATACATATAGATTTTATATGCTCATATATTGTTTTGGCAGGCTTTATGATCCTCGTGAACCTGAGCTGCAAAAGATGCTGCACAGAGAAGCTTTCTTTCCGTCTGCCAAGTTCTCCGACCCGGAAACTCTAGAGACTTTGGTTAAACTTGGACTTAGACAAACCTTAAGCTTTACTGGTTTGCTGGATTGTGCTAGGTCAGTTTCTATGTTGTATGATTCAAGGAACTCAGAAGCAATCATATATGGGAGGAGGTTACTCGGTTGTTTAGATGTAGTGGCATTGAAGCTCTCATCTGTGGTCGGTGAAGACAATTTTAATGAATCTAGAACTACTAAACAATATCAGGATGCCAGTGTAGTTAATGATGAAGACGACAAGAACTCTGCACATGGTTCTGAGAGCTGCTTTAAGTATGGTCTAGACATTAATTCATTAGTGGGAAGCTTCATTAATGTTGAGCCAGGAGAAGATTTTTGGTCCGAATTGAAAACCATCAGTTGGTGTCCCGTTTATGCTGATCCTCCTGTCCAAGGCCTTCCATGGCAAGAAACAGGTTATGAAATAGCTGCTCCAGTAATTACGAGGCCCAAATCACAGTTGTGGATGGTTTCATCTAAGATGAACATACTGGATAGTGAATGTTACTCAACGTACCTACAGTGTAAATTGGGTTGGATGGATCGACTAGATATTGATATTTTGTCAACACAATTGATTGGGCTATCAAAGTCCTATGCTCAGCTCAAGTTGCATCCTGTGGTAGAACCTGATTTTGATGCTGCCTTGCAGAAGCAGATCCCATCACTTTATTCACAATTGGAAGAATATGTTGGTACTGATGATATCTTTGTCCTTAAATCTGCCTTGAATGGTGTTAACTGGGTCTGGATTGGAGATGATTTTGTATCTCCAAATGCACTTGCATTTGATTCACCGGTGAAATTTAGTCCCTACTTGTATGTTGTACCATCTGAGTTATCTGAGTTCAGAGATTTGCTTTTGGCACTAGGTGTTAGACTTAGTTTTGATGTTTTCGACTACTTCCATGTTCTGCAGCGCTTGCAAAATGATGTGAAAGGGTCCCCACTTTCAACTGATCAGTTGAGTTTTGTCCTTTGTGTCCTAGAAGCTGTTGCAGACTGTGACTCAGATAGGCTAATGCTTGAGGCTTCTAATAAGCAATTATTGGTTCCAGATTCTTTTGGAGTTCTTACGTGTGCAGGGGATCTTGTGTATAATGATGCACCATGGATGGAGAACAACACTGTTGTGGGTAAACGTGATATGCATTCAAGTATTAGCCATGATCTGGCAAACAGACTGGGGATTCAATCAATACGTTGCCTCTCTTTAGTCAGTGAAGAAATGACAAAAGATTTACCTTGCATGGAATATGCTAGAATATGTGAGCTGTTGGAAATGTATGGGAACAATGACTTCTTGTTGTTTGATCTTCTTGAGTTGGCAGATTGCTGCAAAGCCAAAAAACTTCACCTGATCTTGGACAAGAGGGAACACCCTCGTCAGTCTTTGCTGCAGCACAATCTGGGTAATGAATTTTAGTTTTGGACTTTGTAGTTGCTTTATTAGTATTGAGGAATTTTATAAGCTTTTGTATCCTTTGATCTCTGAGGTGACCTTGATTTGCACTGTGCTAATGCTTTTTCTCTTATCATTGGCCTCACCGCTGAACCATGTTGCTGAGGTAAGAGATAATATTAGCTTGTGATTGGTGTTGAAGGAGAGAGATGGGCGAGAAGGGCAGGCTGCTGTTATTGCCTAATATTTATACTTGGTAGGGGCAGAACCTAATTAGCTTGCCTTAGATGACTCCTTGATTCAACTTGCTGGTTTATGTGTTGTTGCATTTCCTAGT